GCCTATAAGTCTTAATAAATGAACAAAAAAAAAAAAAATGAAAAAATTATTTTTCTATATTTAGTCTTAATATAGGAGGTAGTTAGAATTCAAGAAAACCCATTGTGGAGGGGTCCAATCCTTTGCATCCCTTGTTGATTTCCCCCATTGCTTTTCAATGATTACCCTTCTAGCTCTTTTATTTTGATTCTTCCCCACTATGGCTTCCAAATTTGGAGGGGTGGGGGAAGTGTAAATGATATCACGGAGACATGGAAACAATTAAATGAGTAGAATATTTGGAAAGCCCAATACTTTGTAATTTGTTCCTATTTATTTCTCATTTTTCTTCTTAATACCCCCCCCCCTCCAATTGTTTTGAACTGATGACATTTTACTAAAATAGCTATAATCCTTTTATAATAGTGCTCAAGGCAGGGGACCTTAGCAGGAATATCAAAATGTAGGAAACAATTTATCCTGATAAGACTAGGATGCTCATGTGTTCTGTGTTCACATGGAACATGTTTCACATTTTGAAATCAGTTCAGTAATTTTAAAAAAAACCACAAACTACATTGTTAGTACACTTTACATGATTTTCCACTAGCCTCATTTGCAGCCTCAGGTTTTAAAAAAGTGGTAAATTTACCTAGCTTGCTGAGAATGTAATCTTTTTACTCAATTTACTTCATTAAATCTTCCACAAATAAAAAAATAAATTTAAAAAGTCAACAGGAACATACATTTGGAAGGTATAACTTTGTTAAGTCTACATTATGTAGGAATCATGAAAAGGGAGTATAAAATCTCAAGTCATTAAAAACTTCTGGGGTGTTCAGTGGTCAATTAAAATCAATTAAGCTATTCCTTAGGGTGGATGGAGTATCTTGATTATAATCGACCATTGTAAAACCACAAATTGTTATACAATGTGTTGATCTGATATTTCTCTTGTTTTAGGCTATTTTGTAATCTTTTCTTTTCCTTAGTCTAGACACCAAGAAACTTAAAGCCTTTTAGAACAAAAGAGTTTTGTTTATTTTCTGGTATCTTGGAGGGGAAATTTGCGGTATAATACTTTAATCCTTTCAGTGCCCTGGGATGTATGCTGTGGAGTAAATGTTCAAAGTGCTGTGCGTAGATTTAACTGTGTGACTCTTATTGATGTTAATGGGAGTCACACGGCTAAATCCATGGACAACACAGTTTAGAGGTATATTTCTGAGAAAGGACATTGGTCTGAGCTGATGAAACAGCTGGGAAAGAAAATCCAGCAGAATGCACTATTCTGAAAATGGCTGGGTCATGTTAAAATGGGGATTTATAATTACTAACCATGCTTATGGCATAGTATTTTGTGACAGCAGTTATTTGACTTTAAGTGTATTTTCCATATTAGCCACCGTATGTTATAATAACAAAAAAGTGCTCAAGGAGAGTGTTTAAAGTATGAGCTGCATTTCTTTCAAATGTTTAAGGAATAAATATTAACTTGTCTTTAGATCTCACTTAAGGAAAGTGGCATTTAGTTTACATAGACAATATTTATACTGTTGATAGGTATGTTAAATTTGAAGTATGATTTTTAATTGAGAAATAAACACAATTACAAACTTGTCTTGCAGAGTGGTGTTTAAACACTTGTGAACTCTTCTGAATTTTCAATATTTCCACATAAATATGATCTAAATGTGATTTATTGTCCAAACAGGACCTAAAACTAAAAAGAGAGAACTCAATTAAACAAATGGGTTAAAATGTATTAAGGAAAATGATCCAAAGCTACATATTTGTCTCTCATGCACTACTGTAGCTTGCTAGTCATATCTTTTTGGAGGAAATTGGGTTTGTTTGTTTTGTATTCTAACCATATTATTTTTATAAATAACTAAGGACCGCAAACTTATCCCACACACCTTCCTCCTCTTATTTTCCCTACAACAGCAACTCTGTGAGGAGTTTGCCTGAGAGAGAGTGACTGGCCCAAGGTCATCCAGCTAGCTTTCATAGCAAAGACAAGACTAGAACTCAAGGTCTCCTAGTTTCTAGCCTGGTGCTTTAACCACTAGACCAAAGTCACTAGGCCACCATACTAAAGAAATCTGATCTCAAACAAGTATCCCAGACATAAGACAGGGATGCAATATGTATATCAACTCCCTTGTGGCCACCACGAGTAATTCAGGATGCCATACAGAAATAAATCAGTAAGCACATTGAAATTTAACTCTAAGGCACGGATAAAACTCAATTGCATCATAGGCTGGATCATGAAGTATTGCAACATTTTTTGCCTTTGTGAAGCCAAGGTGGGTATGGCCTATGCATGACATATTTGGCCTGCAGGTCACCAGTTTGACAGGCCTGCTCTAAGGAGATGATGCATTGCTATTGTTGCAAACAATAGTTGAATTAACATGAGGTCTGAATGCCTAAAAGCCAATTATTATTTTGAGGAAGTATTTGACATCAATTATACTAAAACTGGGATCCTGATTTTTGTCAAGTCACTCAGGCTGCATTCCTCAGGGTTAAATGATCAGACAGTAGAGCAAATTTAAATATTTACGTATTTAGACAATGGATTTTCTTCATCAAACCCAAGCACATCAAAACTATGTGGTTCAAACTGTATACAAATCAGTGGCCTGCAATACAATCCAGTTCCTTTGATAAAGGGGCACAACATAATCCAGCACTAAAATTATGTTTGTCTAAGGCACACAACTCTTGTTTGGAATTCACCTACTAACCATATTGCTACTATGCTTCTGTGGAAAGAGTTTGATCTATGTAAATTCTTAAGGACTTAATTTCTATTGGGCCGTATGTTCCCAATGCGATAGTAATTTCCCTATATGTTGAAATACTTAGACAATTCTGATTTAACTATAGTTACTCTTGCCAAACCAATGTGATTTCAATGTAAGTTTCCTTCAATGCAGCAAAACTTTTTGAACTGTTTGTAAAACTAAACATGCCTTGATTGCCCAATGACACAGTTATAATTTTATGTTTGTACAGGTGGACCTTAGGCTATGACTGCTCTTTTAGTCACTGTTCAAATTTGGTCCTGAATAAGAGGGACTTATGACTGGTCCTCAGGGTTCTAGCCATTGAAGCATCCCCTCAATTATGTGATTGTGACCTGAGCACTTGAGGTCTGGCTCATGATTACGTTGTTGCAGCAAATTGCAATCACCTGATCACACTTTTCAACATATCCTGCCAGGTTCCCACAAGCAAAGGCAATGGGAAAGCCAGCAGGAATTTGAAAGTGAGGTCCTCATTTAACAATGGCAACTAGGACTGCTAAAATTGATGTTACAGTGGTTGCAGAGTCCCACAGTCACATGGTCACGAATTGTGACCTTCCTTGCCAGTTTCCTACAAATAAAATCAATGGGAAGCTGATCACAAGTTACTCCTGTAGGTCACTTCCAATGGTTTTTCTCCTGAGGAACCACCACTATAGAGCAGGGGTGTCAAACTGTTGGCCCGTGCAGGCCACGCCCACACCAGCTTGAAACATCACGTGATGGCCATGTGATGCCAAGAGTTTGATACCCATCCTGTAGAGTATGAGATCCCAGGCAACTCATAATATATAGCATCTCACCAGTCTCTGCACTTCATGGTGCCCAAGCACCCAAAGCACTCCTCCCACCTACCTGTGACTTATGCTAGCCTGCCCATCTGTTCCCTCGAATCTTCCCATGGCCTTTGCTGGCTCACCTACAGCCCTATTGCCCCATTTGCTCAATCTGGTAGCCGGTCGCAGCACATTTGTTGCTTCCATCCTCCCCCCACTCCCCTTGCATGAGCATCTTCCTACTTAACCACCCACATCATCCTGAGGTTAGAATGGGCAACCAGGATTGCCATCACTAAGTGATATGGTCCCAATTGTTGTTGTAGGAAAAGAACAACTATATTTAATTCATGGACTTTCTCTTGTTTTTCACTATTTTATATACTTTGAAATTATGTACCCTTTTTTATTATCAACACATGTGGTTTTGACACATTAATTTTCACATCCATACTGAATCATACACTCTATCAGGCATTTGTTGCAAATCAGTTTGATTCTCAGCTCTCAATATGGCATCCACTATGTAGAAAGCATGTCCCCAAAAGAGAAATTGCAAACAACATCACTATCATGCTTTATATCTCATGACAACCATTCTTTCTACATTAAACAATGAAGGAGAGAAGGCACATTCTTGCTTTAGTATTCTTAATGTTGAACCATATACTTCTTCCCTTCACTGCACTTCCAAAACATTATTCATTGTTATCTCTCATACTCTTTCAGTGAATTCTTCTCTACTTCATTGAGTTTGTCAAGGCCACAAACATGGCATTATGAATTCCAGTATTTGCCAGATCTATTTTTTAATAGAGATGGGATTCAGGGGAAAATAAGAACCACAGTGTACCAGAGTTAATGACCTCAACAACGTTCAGTGAAAACAATTGTAGGAAATGCTTTTCTCTTCTGGTCTCTAGCCTTGGATTCTGAGATAATGGTCTCAGATTCAGCCCTTGGCATTTTCAGTTAAAAAGGTACAGGGGAGAAAGTAGTAACACATTTATACTTGAACATTTGGAGGGCCAGTATCAGTATATTCCAACTGGGTTGGCTAATCCAATGATTCAACTCCACAGACTACAGTTTCAGCACTGGAAAATTCAGGATTAAGCCAGGTCCCCTTTTCAGTATGCCATTGCTAATAATGTTAAACAAGCAACATGTTCATAATTGTCAACTAAAAGTTAATCTATGATGTCATATGAATGTCAACAGGCAACTATCAAAACAGATTATAGAAATAGAATTCAGTACAGGAATATTTTGCCAGATGCTTGTTATAAATATATGTGATTTCAGGATTTTTTCAGTCATGCAGGCATTATCTGTGCAGCTTTAATATTACTGTATGGATTGTGAATTGCTACTCCGTTCCATGACAACTTTGCTTCTATGCTGAATTGTACTATTTATTCCCAAACAGCACATAAGGAGAATTGGATAGATTTTGAACTACAAAAACAAAACAAAAAAAACCCCCAAAAGCCCTTTTGTAATTTGTTTCTCATTTTGTATTCTATACGGTACAGTCAGATAAAGTCAGAGTTAATTCTCTTTTTAATGATTGTTCTTAGATGCAAATTTTCCAAACAATTTTAATAAATGTGTATTATTTTATATCACTAACTAAACTGTCCATCTCCCATCTTTTAAGTTTCTTCTGCAATCATTTAAAAGTTCTGAAGGAGTTCCATATTGAACCTAGAGTAAACTAATTGGGGGTGCAGAAGAAATCTTGCAGAAAACATATCTACTGTATCCATTGACATTGTCAATGGAATCTGAATGCTGTTTGTGCCTTTAAAAAGTAAAGTTCCAGTAAAAAATCCATTAACAACTTTCAAATATAGCAATCCTCTTGTCCAGCTGTGAAAAGTACTAGATGATACTTATTTGCCATTTGTGTTATTTATGGTCCATGACTTTTATGGTAACTGGTTCCTATTATTGGTTTCTATTAATGTAAAACATAAGTGAACATAAATGAGGCGTGAATCATTTCTTTTTATTAGCCCTGCAGTCTTCACTCAGTTCTTGCAGTAACTCCAGCTGTGACTTGTTAGTGATAACCTATTTAAAGAGATCCTTTAGAAAAAGAGGCATGATTAGGATTTTGCCTTCACTTCCTTTGGAAGGAGGAGAATTTGCTTCCTTACTTCACAAGTAGAACAACAGTGGTAAAAAAGGAAAGAGACTGTAATTAGTCTCAGCAAAGTCACAGCTGACTGTAAATGGTATCAAGTTATAGTGCTAATGATAGTCTTGGTGAATTTATACTCACAATTACCTAAAGGCAAGAGGTGATATAAGGAATTTTTACAAGGCCAATCAACATTGTCAGAAAACTGCAATGTAGGGGTTAGTTTATAAGACATTCATAGGTTGAAATAATCCCACACCATTGATAACTACAAAGCAAAGAACTAATCATAGCTGAATGCAATTACAGTATGCATACATATTGAACATTGTCGTATATAATATACAATAAAGATAGGCTGTGCCAGCTAGTGATATGGATTGTTTTTTCATGTAGAAAAACAATTGTTTATGCATGTTCACCCATAAATTTTATGGTCGAGATACAGTTTTTCCACTTCATTTGAAATTTCTAAGAATGAGGTCTTATATAAAAGACATGTTGCTTATTAAAATATAAAAAGACCTACAATAACGCAATGCACAGATAATTTCTTATTTGTATTAAATATTAAATGCAGCTTTTATTTTAAAAAGGTTTATTTAATAAGCCTATTTTTAAGATATTGAAGAAGTGTTAGCTTTATAATATTTGTTAAATGTAATAAGCTTTTTCATGGTTAAAATAATAAAAATTGTAATGCACTGTTTTTAAAAATTCTGAAAATTGTTAATTTTTTAACATTAAAAAATCTGTTCAAAAAAACATTTTTACATACTGTATAAGAATGTTTCTAATTTAGAAAATGTTTGTTTTCCTTAAGTACAGAAATTTATATTTATCTTTCAGTTTCTAGTTTAAAAAATCCTCTAAGATTTTCTGAATAGATATCTATAGAATCATGCTATAGTTTGCAATTTATGTGAGCTGGTCATACAAAGAATCACAAATAGTTGGAGCATATCTTTATCCATTTCCTCTAGTATTGTAAAAACATTTCTATGTCTTTATATTATTTGCATCGAAATAAAAACTAAAAATCACATTTACGTTTTAAACTGCAAGCAATCATTATTGTTTTTATTTTAAGAGATATCATGATTCTCTTTCTAGAAATTATCAGCATCTAAAGGTTAATCTTTCATGGTAGTTTCAATTTCAGTCTTTGGAGATGTTAGATGGACATTTCTAAAATGAAGATATTAATTGCAAGCATTATTTCTTCTCTGTATACAATCTAAGCTCCTCCAAAATAAAAGAAGGGAAAAATAAATATTTCTCTTGAAACTCTCAGGGACCCTTCCGTGATACTGTTGACGTACTGCAACAAAGATTCAAACCCTTGGAACTATCTGTGCGGGTGTCACCCTCAAGTATTTCACTTCAACTTGCCCAAGAAAAACAAAAACAAGAAGAATGGCGAAACCGTATACAGGATGTAACGTATGTGACTTATCTTTTCTGTTTTATTTAACATACTGGTGCTTTAAGCTTGTTCAGTTTATTTGGAATGGTTGGACTATTATTCTGTAGTAATCTGATTGATTGATTGATTGACTGATTGATTGACTGATTGATTGCATGTGACCCATTCAACAATCTCCAGATAGCTCACAATATAAATATATGAAATATCTTAGAAACCTCCAATTATGTGTATAAATTAAAACATACCAAGTAGTTGCTTCAGTTGATAAATTATTTCACAGCATTAACCATGATCAAATAAATTAAATATTCCTGAAAACAACAACTCCATCAAAGCTGAAATGCTTACCACCTTTCAGTATCAGCCCATAACCTCACTCAGTTTGTATATTCATTTGTATTATAAGAAGCATGCACATTAACAGGTGAATTTAAGAAAGTGTTTGTGGGAAACTGATCAGGGTTGGAAATTGAGCAACTAATTTCTAATACTAAGCTAAGTTTCTTAATATAGGTCTTTATATAGACATTGTTAGATGTTCATCTAAGCCTGTTTGTAACTTAAAAATCGCATTTATCTTCTGCTTAGACCCAATTATTATGTGCTGTAAACTGAGAACCTTATTGTTCAGATAGGAACACCTCCCTCTGTTTCAACATTTCATGCTGCCACATATCATTTTAACATTCAGAATATCTTAAATTATTAAGTGAATTTTATCCCAGACGTACTGTATAATGGACCTTTCAAAATAAGATGTTCAGAAAGACACTATTAACCCTTAAATACAAAAATTTCATTTCTAGCCTAACTGGAACTGTGCCTCATTCTTCCTTTAGGGCTGCATCTGAAGGATTAATTTTGTTTTTTATTTATCATAAGATTTTGCAGTAGCAAACATTTCAAAGTTAGCACAGCCAAACCAACCATGTGGGTATGCAGCAGAACAAATTCAAGATGTTTAGTTGCCTCAGGTAGAAGAACAAATAATGCTTCCCTCATCATAATATTTAGGATCAAAGGAAATCCATAGTATTTTTGCACTTGAGATATAATAACAAACAACTTATTTTATCAACCCAAATAATAACTTAAACAATAAATTTCTTCATTTTTAAGGCATGACCTGTTACATGAAGCATCTGCCTTTTTAGTCATGGTAGGCTTGGCCTGTTATGATAGTACTAATTACCACTTCCAGTTGATTGGAGAGCAGATATATCACTGGACTTACTTAGGAGCAGGGAAGGGATATGAAGTACAATAACCTGGATTTGATCCATCAATCTTCCAAAATAGATCATGTCAAAATACTGTGTAAGTATTTTACCTATATCAGTTTATGAGAACCATTTATCTAGACATTCTTTGCCCATATTGTTTTTATGAAACACTGAATATTATGTTGAACCAATCTCTCATATCAGGGTATTTTTGCAAATGATGTCTAGTTTTTCAGATGCTTTCTAACTTTAGCAATTTGAATATTTTGTGGACTACTACTGTACCCTGATAAATAGGGATTATCATATATTTCAGATAATGTTTTAACCATTCAACATTCTGTTTGTAACTCTTTCATTTACTTTAATTACTAGCACAGTGTGTGACATTTATTAATCAGCAGAGCCTTTTTAAGTTACAATACTAAATCAGCTAACCCCATTAACACAGAATACCCCATACAAGCAGTAATAGGAATGGTAGTTACTGAGCAAATCGTATTATAAATGCTGGTGCTCCAGGGCACAGTTAAGCATGATTACCCTCTTTTGATCCAGTATTCCTCTGCCTCTTCTAGCTAATTTTCACTGGAAATTTACAAAGTAGTGCCTTCATTTTTCCACCTTAATTTTTCTAATGAAGTTCTGGTATTTTATAACACCGGGGATGCAGATAATAAGCCTCTCTATAATTAAGGAGCTCTAGAATTGTCTGCAATTAAGAGGTCTCTGTTATTTTTGATTATATAGAACTAAGCTGCATTTTATCTGAAACTTTTGCTTCTCCTGTAAACTGGTATTACAATCAAACAGTCTCATGATGTTTAGTTGAATATCAGAAAATGAGAAGTGTGCATTGTTAAAAACTGAGATAACTGGGCAATTTTCTGACATTTTCTGACATTTTTAATCATTGGCAGAAATAGTTTCTATTATAATGTAAGCTCATTGGTTTGAATTCTCTGAACTAAATTTTCTTCTTCATATGTATGAAAATCCTCCAAATATTTGACAATGACTGTCTTATCAATGCTTAATCTTTCCCAACCTCAATATAAATATAAACATCTTCAACTCTAATAAGGCATCTTCACTCATCCTTATAGCCACATCTATGAGTTTTAAAAGCCTTCAACAGCAATGACAGGATAGTATACCCTTAAATAGTAGTGTCAGAATAGCAAATAAGACCTGATGGAAACATAACAAAAAATATAGATAGGGATCTGAATGCTAAGCCTCTATTATGCTAATCTAGAATAATCAGTTTTTTACATACTGTATTGCAAAGCTGACTCCTAGTTAGATCATAAGTGTTGATTAAGTGAGCTCAACAACAGGGCTGTCAAACTCGCGACCTGCAGGCTGGATGTGTCATGCGCTGGCCACTTCCACACCCAGTTTAGCAAAGGGGGAGAAAGTAGTGATACATCACGTGACGTCGCAAATTTGATACCCTTGCTCTACATGGTAGTCCAGGCCAGGAAACTGGCTCCTCAGGAATACTAGAATTATACTTTATTGATATCAGCTGCAGTAGAAGTATGGTTGAAAGTCTTCTGGTGTTTTTCTTATCTTCCCTAAAGTAACCCCAGAATATAAGGGATGAGTCATCTGAAGTCTCTTCTTAATACTGGCTCCCTTCCCAGGACTTAAGGAATGTTTTGTGTCCATTGTGATTATGTAAAAGATTCTGAATATTTCTTTCAAGAACGTCTCCTTGGCTCTTTACAGATAAATATTTATATTTATTCTTCTGATTTAAAATGAATTCATGAAATATATTTTGTTGGCTTAGACTTACTTTTCCAGCTTGCCAAGACTATTCCAAACCTGGCTGTTCTATCCTGTTGTGTGTTATTGCCAATTAATTTGATGACTTCCTCTGCATACCGTATTTTTCGCTCCATAAGATGCACTTTTTTTCCTTCCAAAGTGGGTGAAAATGTCTGTGCATTTTATGGAGCGAATATGGGCGACAGGCAGTAGCAGCAAATGGCAGCAGTGATTGCTGCCTGGAACAGCTGATCAGTGGTATTCTGGGAGGTCGATCCAACCGCTCATCATCTGCTCAGAGGCAAAGTCTCCAGTATTCCCTGGTGGATGCAGCAGACACAGAGGAGGCAGGCTGTTTGCTGTTTGCTGCAAGATGCTAGCCAGATGAATACCAGATGGATGCTAGGTGGCAGAGGCAGATTTTTTTTCTTGTTTTCCTCCTCTAAACCTAGATGTGTCTTATGATCAGGAGCATCTTATGGGGCGAAAAATACGGTAAATGTCAGAAAATTAAATCAGGAATGTATGAAACTATTTATTATTGGTAGAATTTGTCTGCTGAGAAATTAATACTGAAATTATTGAAATTTCTTCAACCCTCCAAATTTCTCCTGGGAATTTGAATGTAGAATATGATAGATATATCCAGATAGGAGAGACAAAATTAAAGCACCATCACACCATCTTTCTTCTGTAATTATGTCATGTATGAATATGGAAGTATGTAATGGTATTTGCCTTATGACATTACAGGGAGTTGTCATTTTTGTGTCATCACAGAAGGCAGTAGACAGTGCAAGGTGTTATTTAAGTGTTTTACCTGTCTTGGTTGTGACCCGTCAAACGCGCGGACGACAAAAGCGCGATCGACAAAATCGCGCCTTTGACGTCATCACAGCGCGACGAAAAAGATCGAAAAATTCAAATAAAAATTAATAAAAATTAAATTAAAGCAAGCCGATTCACATAAAGGTAAGGGTTAGGGTTAGGGTTAGGGTTAGGTTAAGGGTTAGGGTTAGCTTTAGAGCGTTAGCGTTAGCGTTAGGGTTAGGTTAAGGGTTAGCGTTAGGTTTTTCGTTACTTTAACGGTTAGGTTTAGGGTTAGGTTTAGGGTTAGGTTAAGAGTTAGGTTTAGGGTTAGGTTTGGGGGGCTTAGGGTAAGGTTTTCGCTTTATTTTTACATTTTTCGAACTTTTTCGTCGCGCTGTGATGACGTCACAGCGCGCTTTTGTCAAGCGCGATTTTGTCCTACGCGCTTTTGTGGTGGAACCGTCTCGGTAGCCTGAAGCAGATCTCCACAATGATATCAGTAATATTTCTTTCTCTTTTTACTTTTATCCAAATGTTCTCAACTAACTTACTACATGGAGATTTGTGGTTTTCATCAGATGTGTGCAACTTTTTACATAAAATGTTGCTTTGCTCACTTACAATTCGACATTGAGTACTTTATACATTATTTCAGAAAATCTGAGCACTTTACAGTGCAGTGCTTGTGGCAAGCTCAGCAACTATTATAGCATTGCAATATCCTTCACCTGAATACAGGTGAAGTTTGGATTTACCAAACACAAATTCACTTCCTGTAAGAATCAAATTCGCATCCAAGACCATTAAATAGAACACATTGACTTTTTAAACTTATTTGAGGAGCAACTTTCTAGAAGCATAAAATCTTCTGTTTATTCAGATTAACTTTATGTTGAAGTATGTAGGTATCTGATTCAAAATCTAAACAGGGAAATCTGGTTCTATATAACTATTCAAAATCATTTAAATTCAGTGTTGCTCCCCATTGTTTTGGCAATTTCGTGTTCAAACTTTAGTGAAAGCCATTTTGTTATATGTTTTAACATATTTATCATTCATGTGGATAATTAATTCTTTCATTTTCCAAAAATAATTTCTGTGTCTCTTTTTGATCTTGGCTATTCTCCATGTTTATTTTATTATAAAATTCTTCCTGAGAATATAAATTTAAGTTAATTTCTAGTAGCAGTGTCCATAGTCCTGGAGTTTCTACCATAAAGTGCATATTTCTATAGTAAGTAAGTAACATTGTCACTGATGATATCTAACTTTGTGCTCTTTATCACAAAAAGCAAAACTTCTTCTGACTATTTAGACTACCTAAGTTCCATGCTTCCATAGGCAAATTCCTAAGTACTAGTCTTGTCATTTCAGTCGTCATCCAATCCCTAGAGACAGCCAATTTTCTTTAATGTCTGAACCAAAGAAAAATGTACTATTAAAATGCAATTCAGAAGTGATAAAAACTCTAAATGGAGCAGCCGGCTTTTTGTACCACCTATGTATACTCAGGGACATTGGGGCCACATTAATTTTTTGTGTGTGATGTCCATCCCAAGTGCAAATTAGCCCTGGAAGTGCTATAATCCGTCTTATATGAGAGCCACCTGTCCCATGAGTATATACATGCTTCTGTAGCTTTGTATAATTTAAAGCTCTGCTTCTTCTGTGGTATTGTTTTATTAATTTTCAAGAGCCCTTGGTTTAGAAGGCTTTATGGGCAATTTGACTGGCCAGATGCTAATAAAGACCAATTTGTTTCTCCACAAGGAAGGTTTATTGATGTAATTTACAGCTGATAAAATATTAATTTCTTTCAACAGAGAATGCTATTTTAAAATAAGCAGGATTTTTAATTGACATTACAAAAGTAATACACAGCAAATATATTGTAATATTGTTAATGTTCAGAAAATATAACTGTCCTCAATTTCCCCCTTTTTCACACTTTTCTACATAACCTCTCAGAAAATAACATTTTAAATTTCTATATAGAAAGACTTTTAACAACTCACCTGAGCTATTCCAATTCAGCAAAATTTAGAGATGCAATGTGGAAGATGCACTTCATGTGGCAACAACCCATAGTATATAATGTAGGAGTTAGATTTGTTCAGAAATGGTATATAAAACAGTTGTACTGAAACAGTTGCACCAAAGGAGAATGGCTTCTGTTCTGCTTTAAGTGTTGATGTTTAAAATAAAAATTCAGTGATTTACATTTCAGCAATTATTTTTGTTTTATACCTGCCAAAGATATAAAGTACTACTGAAAGGTCTTGTTGCATTATTTCATCATGGGGAGATGGAATATAGGGCCTTCTCTGCTTTGGCAGCCTAATCGTCAGATATTCTTCGTTCAGTGGTTCAAGATTCGCTTCATTTCAGCACTTACCGTATTTTTTGGAGTATAAGACGTAGCAAGGTTTTGAAGAGGCAAATAAAAAAAAAGTTTTTGCACTGTGCAAACATCCCAAAACCTTCACGAAAATGTGCCTTTTTTTTTTTTTTTCAAAAAAAGGGCATGAATAGCCTTTAGGAGACTTGTAGAGTTTTCTGGGGGCAAAAACATGCAAAAAAGGCCCATTTTTTGTGAAAAAGGCTGATTTTCTGTCAAAAAATGGCATGGATAACCTTTAGGAGGCTCATAGAGTGTTCCTAGGGGTTGAGGAGGGCAGAATTGAGCAAAAAAATGACCCATTTTCGCTGGTTTTTGCCCTCTCCAGCCCCCAGGAGCTCTCTGAAAGCCTCCTAAAAGCAATGAGTGGCCATTTTGGTGAAGGGGCGGAGTTTCAGGTGGCAAAAAAAATGCTGTATTCAGTGTATAAGATGCACCCAGATTTTCTGCCTCTTTTTTGAGGGAAAAAGGTGCGTCTTATACTCCGAAAAATATGGTACTTAAGACTGCCTGTCTACCCAACCCTGAAGATACAATCAGTTTTTGTTTATATTGTGTTTTATTTGTTCTTTAATCTGTCTATTCATTGTGCTCTATCATAAATAAATGATGTAAGCAGATTAAAAATATTTAAATAAATAAACATCAGAGATTATAGCATAGCTCTTCCTCAGTAATTTCTGTGCTAAGTAACTGACTATGATATCCTTATCTAGAATAGTTTCCAAAATTCTTCTCTACTGATTCTACTGCTTATAAAAGTTGCTGATTCTCTCTGCTTTACTGAGACCACTGTCAAAGTACAAGTAGTCCTCGACTTACAACAGTTCATTTAGTGACAGTTCACTTACAATAGCACTGAAAAAGTGACTTATGACCATTTTTCACACGACCATTGCAGCATCGCCATGGTCACGTGATCAAAATTCGGACACTTGGCAACTGACTCCTATTTAAGACATTTGCAGTGTCCTGTTATCATGTACCTTTTGCAATCTTCTAACAAGCATAGTCAATGGGAAAGCCAGATTCACTTAACAACTGTGTTACTAATGTAACTATTGCATTAATTCACTTAACCATGACAAGAAAGGTTATAAAATGGGGCAAAATTCACTTAACAAATGTTTCACTTAACAACAGAAATTTTGGGCTTAATTGTGGTTGTAAGTCGAGGGCTACCTGCAATGTGATTCAATTCCCTTTGCTTTATGCTGCTCAGACTTGGTGATACCTACCTTCTCAGTATTCAGCAGGTTTTGACCAGTTCTGGAGAACTGGTAGCGGAAATTTTGAGTCGTTTGGAAAACCAGTAAATACCACCTCTGACTGCCCCTGCCTCCATCTATTATCTGCCTCCCAAGTTCCAGCTAATCAGGAGGGAATGGGGATTTTGCAGTATCCTTCCCCTTCCATGCCCACCAAGCCACCCCCCACAGAACTGATCTTAAAAAATTTTGAATCCCACCATTGCTTCTCCTTTATTCAATTTCCATCATTATCTAATGCTCCCATTAATTTATGTTTGCTTTTCCTTTATTGTCTCTGTTTTCAAATCTCCACCCACCCCACCCCCTTTTTTTGTATCTGCTTAGAACAGCTTTTCACTTTCATGCCCCCCCCCTTTTTTTTTTCTGGCTGCTACTTTTCCCAACTTTATTTTATTGCATGCTTGCTTTTATTCTTCTCATTCTCCTTTCACCCATCCTCTGAACAAATATAGAATCATCATCTTCATTTTCAGTACTGTTAATAAAAACACATACAAATACCTACCAAGCTAACTAACTAAAAGTAAAGCAAATTCTAGATTAATCTCTGAGGGAAAGAAGTTTCATGACCTGGATGAAATCATGGACATGACCTCTTAAAGTGCCCATGCATTTGTACAGATGGAGGTGATCCTTTAGGCATCTTGATCCCAAACTGTTTAGAGTCTAAAAGTAATTATTTATTGGAGCAATAAAGGAGTCATATAGTGAGCACTTTGGCAGCAATGTTTTGAAACAGCTGTAGTTTCTGAACATTTTGAAGGGCATCTCCATTCAAACATGCTACAAAAATCCAAGTAAGAAGTAATGAAAGAATGTGTAACTATAGTCAAGAGACAAAAAACTTAGAAAACAAAATGAGATTAAATGAATGAATGACAGTCCTTTCAGCAGTTCCAAGAAGTCCTACTTCATTTGCACTATTCAGGTGACTCTGAGGGCACAAATAAACCTCCCAGTGGCCTCAAAGGCTCTCGGAAAGAGTGCTAATGGCCAGATGACTGCAAAGAATATAAATCTTTCTATTCTCCACCATTCAGTCAGAACTCAAGAAGCCTCTTGGAGGAGAAGGAAAATCTCTTCAAGGAAAAACAAAGGAAGTGGTAGTTGCTTTTTAAAAAAACACCTTTGGGACAACCATGACCTGGATGACTGAGAATCACCATAGACATAAGGACAAATGCACTTCTTATATGGAAATATATATTCATTTTTCTCTTCTGGGGATTTTCACTTGAGCATAATTTAATTCTTATTTGTATTATGTACTATGTGATAAATGTTTATGATATTGTACTATGGTATAATAGTACTATTACACCATTGTTTGCAAATGTACTACTACAACTGTTGGCTATATTAATAGACCACTATAAAACAACATTGATAATTGAGGCAGAAACAAATTATTTTAAATTACATTTTTCTTATTGTTAATGTACATGCTTTCTAATGAGTTAGGTAAGGTGAAAAATAATTATATACAATGTTTTACTTTTCAGGTTTATGCCATTTTCATATAATGTGCCAGATGAATATATTCCATCCATTCAGAGAGCAAGCAAATATGGTCAGTCAAATTATGGACTCAAGTATTTCCGGGAAGAACACCCAGAGAAATGGATGACAAAGAAGGTGAGCTGTATTGGATAACCAAGGATAAGATACAACTTCTTAAGGCTTCTTAAGGCTAGTCATAGCAAGGGAATGCAGGAAGGAGTTGAAGGTAGAACTAGTCTTGCTTCCTGTGCTGTAAAGATTATATGTGTATTCAAAAGATTTTAAAAATAGATTTCACAATAGAACTCCTTGGCTCTTATCTCAGAGGTAGCTGAGGAATTCCCCAGATTTATGGTCCTGGGGACTTCAATCTGCCTTCCCTGGGATTTGGGATTGGGATGGCTCAGGAACTCATGGTTCCCATGACAACCCTGGGTTTATCCCAGGCCCTGCATAGGACCATGGTTATATTCTTAATATCTTCCTCTTAGAACAGTGGAGATGTGATCTGGAAATGGTGAAAGTTTTTTGATCCCTTTGTCACTCCCTGGTATCCATGAGATTCTCTGCCTAGAACATCTGATTGGCGGTATTCCAGGAGGCCAATCCAACCACCAATCAGCTGCTCGGCAGTGAAGGCTCCAGCGTTCCCCGGCGGAGACAGCAGACACGGAGGAGGCAAGCTGTTTGCTGCAAGGATGCTAGCCAGATGAATACTGGATGGATGCTGGGAGGCAGAGGCAGATTTTTTTTTCTTGTTTTCCTCCTCTAAAGCTAATGTGTGTCTTATAGTCCAGAGCATATTATAGTGTGAAAAATACGGTAAATATTCAATACTTACTTAATATTTTTTTTTAATGTGCTGCCACTCTCACTGATACATCGGCTCTGGAGATCTTACAATCTAATAAAAATTTAAAAATATTGCTAAACAATTAAAGTTAGAAGAATTAAATAGAAAAGCTAAAAATTAAAATGAGGAGTTGTGCTTACTTGTGCTTTCCCTGTAGTGGTTCTCCAGTGCACTGCTCGGAGAGTCCAATGCTGGGTTAACACAGCCTATCTGCCCTTGGACTGAGTGATGTTTTTAGTTGACCACGCCTCCCTTTGCCTCTGCATGCTCAGTTCGAAAACTCAGTCCGCCCGTTAAGACTGTTTTGGGAGAGCTCCAGTCTAAGGTCAGATAGGCTGGAAAGTTTCACACTTTGGANAAAACTAAAACTAAAAACTAAATTTTCCACCAGCTGAAGCTTCCAGATACTCTTCAAGAGCAGCCCCATGTAGAATGCTTATTTTACCGAAAGAACCTGTTTCCCCCCCCCACCTGACTATGTAATTCAAATATAGCTCCCTGCTTTTACAAAGGCTAAGAATTTGCTTTTGTTATTTATTTGCTATATTATTTGTTAGAATGGGTAGCCTGCCTTTTCTCTAGGAGCTTAACAAAGCTTACATGGGTCCCCTTTCCTTTTATTCTCCAAACAATCAACAGTTCTCTCTCAGCGCACAATCCTGTGATCAGCAAGAGAGAATGACTGGCGCAACATGAGCCATTAGGTTTTCATGAGTGAGGACCTAGAAATCACAAAACAAACAAAAATCAACTTTCTCCAGAGCTTTGGCTTTGTCGTAGTTATTCATTATGCAGGAAATGAATACGTTTTGGGGGATATATAATATGTTCTAAAGTTATTTTATTTTCTGAATTTTGTTGTCTTTTTTTATTTGCTCATCCCCGGATTCTATCCTGCTATTTCTTTTTTTCCTCCATATATTGTCTGCATTGCTGCTTTCATGCACTAGATCAGTGTTTCTCAACCTTGGCAACTTGAGAAACACTGCACTGCACTAGATATTATGAGACACAATGCTGGCTGGGGAATTCTGGGAGTTGAAGTCCAGACATCTTCAAGTTGCCAAGGTTGAGAAACACTGCACTAGATATTATGAGACACAAAACTGACTTGATCTTATGTACCTCTACCGTATCTTCAATCATGTGATTGCTTCCCTCCAACAGAAAGGAAGCTATAGAGTGAGAGTATTACCCCATGAATCAAAAAAGTTAAGCCATGTAATACAGAAGCAATGACTGTGACAAAATCCACAGTGGAGTCAAAGGGGCAGTGCGGTTAGAGTGCCAAATTACAAGAAGGAAGGCATAGGTTCAAATCCCCATCGATTCACAGAGTCGTTCTTATTTGCCTTATTTCAAGGGTTGCTGTGAGGATATAAAGAAAGTAAGGTGATTAAAAAAAAACTGTATGCCAAAGATGTAGGCTAATAGCAACAGCAATAGCAATAGCAGTAGACTTATATACCGCTTCATAGGGCTTTCAGCCCTCTCTAAGCGGTTTACAGAGAGTCAGCATATTGCCCC